AAATTGCATTTGATTGGAAAATATAATTTAATATCTTAACTTTAACTAAATGATGTTAAGCACTTTTCTTTGTTAGGTATTTTTGAAGTTTAAATAGCATCAAGAAGTTAGCATTCGTTTTGAAGTAGCGTGCGTAGCGTAGTTGGTAAAGCGTTAGACTCATAGTCCGTAGGTCGTAGGTTCGATTCCCCCCATGCTTTAGATTTATTTATTTCTCAGGTTTGCGTTTAATCATTAATTCTATGTATGAATTAATTGAAAAATAAAAATATCCGTTAATAGTATGCATAAATTACATATTTTTTAATTTTTTAATTAATTAATTTATTATTACTTTTAATTATATCCGACAGTTAATTAATTAGAACGTTAATTAATAAATTCAATTTGAGTAAGAATTTAATTTAAAATTGAATAATTATTAAATAAATATGTTATTTATTCATAACTTAAGCTTATTTATTATTAATTAACTTTTATTATTAATATTATTGATTAAAAAACATTATGGCAAACTTGAGGGCAAGATGAGGGCAAACGTGAGGGCCCATAAGGGCGCCCGTAGGGGCACCCTCATGGATCGCCCATGCGGGCGCCCTCATCGATGAGCATGTCGTTTCCATGAGGGGCCCCTATGGATCATCCATATGCGGCCCTCATGGCATGAGGGCGATCCATAAGGGCCCCCGCTGGGGGCCCACATCACTTTTCCACACGGGTTGATAATTCGAAATTTATTTAATAATTAATTAATATATGATAAATAAAAATAATCTCATATTCTTTTTTCTTAAATTAATTTCCTGATTTCTTTTTTTTCAAAAATTATTTTTTCCTTTTAAATCTATAACCAAAAAATTCTACTACTTCGAACAATTTTCTTTTATAAAAATTTTATATTCCCTTTTTATTTCGGTATTTAATAATAATTATTTACTAATAAAATAAAAAAATAATCTTCTAGTGTATTTTTTCCAAAAATTAAATTTCCGATTTCTTTAATTTAAAAATTAAATTTTGTTTTCGAATTTTCATAACCCAAAAATTCTACTTCGTACATTTTATTTTCTATTCAAAATTTTTCTATTGCTTTTTCATTTTGCTATTAATTATTATTATTATTATTATTATTATTATTATTATTATATTACTATTAATTAATTAATAATAAAATAAAAAAATAATCTCTCAGTATTTTTCCTAAAATTTAATTTCTTTATTTCAAAATTAATTTATTAATTAAAAAATTATTTTTTGTATTTTTAAGTAAATAAATAGAAAAAAATTCCTTTTTTTATATTCCGAAAAAAATACCATAGTTTTGGTTTATTTTTCAAAAAATTCCCATAAATTCAAATATTTGATAAAATTTATCGAAATGGGGGATGAGAGCAAGGGGTGAATTGTGAAAGTGTGTAAGGTCAAATTTCGTTGGTCAGATCCATTAGGAACTGTTATATATATATATATATGTATATGTCTCGAATACTATATCAACATCAATGTCGAGTCCATCGGTGTTGCAGTTAATGTCCATCAAGAGGTACGTTTTGGCATTTAGATGGCGCGTCAAGTGTATGTCCTCCACCCCTCCTTTGCACTTATGGAGCCTATTTCCACCAGTAGTATAGCTAGGAGAGTTCTAGACCACTTACCCGCAGTCGGTAATGTAGATTCCTACATTATCATAAGTTGCCCAAATAAAAGTCGGTTGGTAGTAGGTGTCCTACCTTACCGACCGAGTTAGTTCAGGCTGCCACCACTAGATGGCGCCACTATTTTTTTTAATTAGCCAAGTTAAAGTCGCTTGGGAATGGGGATTTTTGAATTTCGCGCCCAATTTATCGACCGAGTTAGTTCGGGCTGCCTCCGCAAGATGGCGCCACTAAATTTTTATCAACCAAGTTAAAGTCGCTTGGGAATGGGGATTTTTGAATTTCGCGCCCAATTTATCGACCCAGTTAGTTCGGGCTGCCTCCGCAAGATGGCGCGAATAAATTTTATTGGCTAATTTCCTGCCTTTTGTGAATGGGTACAAATGCTTGGACAAGTTTAAATTGCTGGGGAGTAGGGTTGAAATTTTTAGATCCAATTTACTGACTATGTTATTACCAGCAGTTGTCTCTTTTTTAGCGTTAAAGTTATACTTGCCTGGTGAAGGGTTAGGGTGAAATCACATGGCGGCGTCAAACGTCATCCAGAAATTCATGAGTGCAAGAGTAGCAGGAACATAGGTTATCTTTTTCTCTCATGAATTTCCGGTTGACGTTTGACGCCGCCATGTGATTTCACCCTTACTTCTTAAAATTCCACTCTAGTGTCAATAACTGTTTACCTACCCATCGCTGGTCACATTGCATGTAAACCCGGCAAGTTCAGATTAGAAATAGCATATATATGTGAAAGTGTACACTTTTTGTTAGAGTTGTGAACACTTTTAACAATTTTGTTTAATATACAAGTTTCCATATGTATCAGAAGAAGAGAGAGAGATGTGAGCAGAAACAGTGTGTGCAAATGAGTGTTGTGATATATAATTTCAACTATCCAAAAACTGTTTGTAATAATAGTATTGCTCCCACCAAATGTTTTTCCACAATTAGAACAATACGAGAAAGAAAGAAAGAAAGAAAGAAAGAAAGAAAGAGCAAAGTATATACTTTTCATGCTGTTTATTTCCTGAAGAAGATTGTGTTTAGACCCTAAAGGTCACACTGACAATTGTACACATTATTGTTACCAGTGTATTTGATGAGTAAAGGACATGTAATAAACAAGTTTGTTTCCGTGAAGACACCGTTGAAAATGAATTTCAAACGACCAAAAAGAAATTTTAAAGGATTTAAAATTAAGGTAGGTTAAACTTTACTATCTATCATGTTGATTATACACTCTTAGTACAAAATAAAGTGCAATTTTACTACGCTTAAAAATGTGTTACTATATCCAAAGATGTAAATAAATCCTAATAAGTGTTCTATTGTACAAGCTCAAAGTAAAAGAAAAATTATAAATGGGTAAATTTATTATATCTTAAAATCTAAAAAAAAAAACATAACCTCTTTCTCTATAAATAAGTGAAATTTTTACACATTTAAAGAAAAAAAATGTTGAACCTAGGAATTTATGGAAATATTTTTATTTACAATAAACCGAAAACCATTTATATTTTTAACAAAGTTTGTTTATTTTAAAATTTAATTTTGAGGAAATAAAACGCTGTCTATCTCAAATACAAATTGACAACCGTGCAAAATTATCCTTTAATCAATGTCATTTTTCTTTGGAGTGCGTCTTATTTATCAAAAGAAATTGCACATTTATTTTTTTACTATATCTTCATTAATTTTAATTCAGACTTTACCCAACGGCAAGATGATGAGGTTCACAAGGTGGGATTTTCCTCGTTATATCCCATACGTTCCGGAAACTAATGTTAGAAGAAAATTCACAAGATGGGATTTAAATGTTCCAAGAAAATCAATAGCCATATCACCAGACGTTCCACCACCAAGTCCTTACATACCAGGATTTGTAGAAGAATCCTTATTACATTTTTATCCTGAGGAAGATGTTAATTCAGATAGTAAAGAGAGGTGCTCAATGGAACAAGAAATCAATCATCTTCAGAGTCCAGATAAAAATGAAAATGTGGAACTTCAAAAACATAATTTACTGAATATTAGCGAAATTCTAGAAACTATAGCAGATCAAGAACAATATTTAGTGGATATTGACGAAATTCTTCAACAGAGTTTTGTAAGCGAGGAAAATACGGCTAATCAAGAACAATATTTAGTAGATATTGATGAAATACTTCGTCAGAGTTTTGTAACTGAGGAAAATACAGCAGACCAAGAACAATATTTAGCGAATATTAGCGAAATTCTGGAGAGTCTAAGAAAAGTAGAATGTACAGCAAATAAAGTACAATATTTAGCGGATATTGATGAAATTCCTCTTCAGAGTTTGGTAAACGAGGAAGATAACAGATCTGGGCATTGAAATTACAACTGCTTTGTCAAATTCCTAAAGCCCAATTAATATTTAACTTAAAAAATTCTCGTAAGTTTTTAATATAAAAAAGGTATGTCATATAACCATTTAATATATGAATTCATTGTTACCAAAAACAAAAGTTACTTTTAATCGCTTCTGCAAGAAGACTTTAGTGTTGTGTGTGTGTGTGTGTGTGCGCAAAATTGAAAACAATTTTATTTTGTAAAATGCTTAGGAAACTATTGTTTTAACATAAAAGAAACAAAACGTTATTTTTTTATTTGCTTCTGCAAGAAGGCTTAAGTGTTGTGTGTGCACAAAATTAAAAACTTTATTTTTCTTGAGAAGTTATTGTTCTTAACCTAGAAAAAAAAACAAATGTTACTTTTTTTTTCTGCAAGAAAGGCTTGAATGTTGTGCATGAGTTTTCCTATTATTTTTCTTGAGAAGTTATTGTTCTTAACCTAGAAAAAAAACAAATGTTACTTTTTTTCTGCAAGAAAGGCTTGAATGTTGTGCATGAGTTTTCCTCTTATTTTTAAAAATAGGTCTATTTTGAGACATTAAGATAACTATTTTTTGTTAATTCTTCCGTACTAAAAAGAAAGATTAAGTTTATTTTTTACTCCTAAAAGGCTTGTGAGTAATGTATGCACAAATCTGAATATTCTCAAAGTAGTTAGTCTTTTTTTCAATGTTTAAAATATTTTTTTTATTTTGTAGAATTGTGTTTTTATTTATTTATTTTAATTTTTCTTGATCATCCTATTATTAAAATTTCTGAACTTAGTTGTGTTTTTATTTATTTATTTTAATTTTTCTTGATCATCCTATTATTAAAATTTCTGAACTTAGTTGTGTTTTTATTTATTTTAATTTTTCTTGATCATCCTATTATTAAAATTTCTGAACTTAGTTGTGTTTTTATTTATTTTAATTTTTCTTGATCATCCTATTATTAAAATTTCTGAACTTAGTTGTGTTTTTTATTTATTTTAATTTTTCTTGATCATCCTATTATTAAAATTTCTGAATTAGTTGTGTCAGACTTTGTAAATTTAAAATTTAATGTGTATTTTATTAGTTCGAATAAGAGTGTGCGCTTAGACAGAAGTGGGAGGGGCCCGCTGCGGTGTATAAATTTGAGGAGCGTGAGTTACGAGGACGCACTACTTTTACAGATTTCGAGGTTAACACTTGAAGCATTTCTCTATTTAAATTATATTTCAGAAATAAAAAAAAAAAAAAAAAAAATGGAAAACGAACATAACCGACCGTCAATTGAAATTCGTATAAAAATATACGACGAACAATACGACAGTGAAGGAAACAGTATTGTTTCTAGTAGTGACAGTGAAGCCACTACTGTTATATTCACCAATGAAGATCAGGGTAACAATATTCCAGTATATGATGATGACGATATATTAGAAAATAATATTAGCGATGAAGAGGTAGCTTAAATATTAAATTAAATATTAACTTAAATATTTTGTATATAAAATTTTATTAAATTATTTATAATTGATTTTTTTTTCAGATTTCAGAAATGGATGCATTACTACAATCCCCAGATTTACCAGCTACGGAGGAAACCTTTAATAATGAATATCACCACGGTTATATGGAGAATCAAGATGTTGAAGTTGATGACGATGTATTGATAATCGATGAAACCTTTAATAATGAATATCACCACGGTTATATGGAGAATCAAGATGTTGAAGTTGATGACGATGTATTGATAATCGATATTAGCGATGAGGAAGTACGTATTTATTTATTTATTATATTAATTTATGTATACACATATACTTATTTACTCATATGCCTACTTTTTTTCAGGTTTCTGAAATATTAGAAAATCCTCTAGACAACGAGATTGACATGTCACCGGAGCCTCCCCAAACACCATCTCCAATTCTATCTGAATCATCAGATATTTTCACTGATTTCAATGGTAAAAGATACCGACACAGGTCACAATCCCCTTAGTTTATTTACTAAATACTTTTAAAAACTGTTACTAATGTAATAATAACAGTAGAAAAAAGATGTAATTTTTAACATCTCTTAAAGAATTAAAGTTTTTTTTTCCTTTCAGCATTTGTTTTTTCAGGTGATTATTCTAGGATTTCATATTTTTAGCATTTCTTTTAGTTTTTTTTTTTGTTTCATCTTTTCTTGCAGCTTGTTCTAGAATTTCAGTTTTTCTTTCAGGTTTTTTTTTGTTTTCAACCTTTCATGCAGCTTCTGTTCTAGAATTTCATTTTTTTTTTTTTTCAGGTTTTTTTGTTTTCAGGCTTTCTTGCAACTTTCCTTCTAGAATTTCAGTTTATGTTTTCAGCCTTTCATGCAGCTTCTGTTCTAGAATTTCATTTTTTTTTTTTTTGTTTTCAGGTTTTTTATGTTTTCAGCCTTTCATGCAGCTTCTGTTCTAGAATTTCATTTTTTTTTTCAGGTTTTTTTTGTTTTCAGGCTTTCTTGCAACTTTCCTTCTAGAATTTCAGTTTCTGTTTCAGGTTTTTTTTTCGTTTTCAGCCTTTCATGCAGCTTCTGTTCTAGAATTTCATTTTTTTTTTCAGTTTTTTTTTTGTTTTCAGGCTTTCTTGCAACTTTCCTTCTAGAATTTCAGTTTCTGTTTCAGGTTTTTTTTTCGTTTTCAGCCTTTCATGCAGCTTCTGTTCTAGAATTTCAAGATTCTATAAAATTTTTTAGAATTTTAGCTTTTCTCAAAGAATTTTTTTAGCTTTTTTTTCTCAAATTTCTTATTAGGTTTTTTTTTTCAGTTGGCTATCCTCGATTATTTTCTCAAAGAATTTTTTTTAGCTTTTTTCTCAGATTTCTTATTAGGTTTTTTTTTTCAGTTGGCTATCCTCGATTATTTTCTTTGAGTTATTCTTATAGAATTTTAGCTTTTTATTTCATAATTTTGTTATTAGATTGGCATCCAGGATTTTTAATTTTTTTTCTACTCTTTTATTTCAGTTTCAGATTTTTTTTTTACTAAGATTTCAAAAAAATTTTTTTTTCTACTCGTCTCTTATTTCAGTTTTAGTTAATTTTTTCTTTTTTTATTTTTTTTTTTTACTAAGATTTCTGATTTAATCCTTCTCTTAAGGACAGGTCCAAGTCGTTCAGATTTTTTGCATGGAGCTTCAATGGAAAAATCGGAACGACTTGGACCTGCCCTTAAACTCCTTTCACATTGGCTTTTTATTGAGAAATTTAAATTACATGTTATGATTTTTTTCAGATAAAAGAAAAATGGAAAAATCACTTTCTCATTCCTATTATGATGATGATGATGACAGTAATGATGGAGCGGAAAGGACGTTCATCTTAATTTTTGAGAGTGATGAAGATGATTATGATAGTGAAGGGTCCACTATATCTGAAAGCTCTGATGATAGTGAGGTTGATAGTGAGATTGATAGTGAGGATGATGATGATGATGTATCCCTCATTGTCAGTCGGATTATTGTTATTACAGGGGTAATGAATTTTACAACATTGACATTTTTATAATAATAATAATAAGAATAATAATAATAATAATAATAATAATAATAATAATAATTTTTCAGGTGGATTTGTTACAACTCCCCTCCGAGTCATCAGTTACAACAGATTCTAAAAAATAAAATTCATATATAGATTTAATTAATAAATAATCTTTTTCAACACTAATTGCTTTATGTAATTGTATAAGAGTGCGTTTGTTTCTATGTTAATAAAGAGGGACTTAGTAATATCATATAGGAATTGCGCGCGCATATTAGGAACTTCACAAATTAGCGCACATTATAGTGGTGGGGTTAAGGAGAAAAGTGGGGGCTAGTGGTGATATAAGGCGACTCTTGAGCCGCAAGTGACATTCTCTTCTTCAGATCCCCAAGTAACAGTAAGTATAAATTTCTTTGTTACAGATCCTTTATTTTCAGGTTTTATTTTCAGGTTCTATTTTCTGGTTTTTTTTCAGGTTTTATTTTCAGCTTTTATTTTCAGCATTTGCTTTCAGGTTTTCTTTTCAGCATTTATTTTCAGCATTTATTTTCAGCATTTATTTACAGGTTTTCAGAGCATTTAATATATTTTTTTTTTCTTTATCTTTCTGTTTTAGGTTTTATCAAAAAAAAGAAAAAAAAAAATGGATTTAGAAAAAGTAAATGCTGTTGGACGTATGGAATGTACTCTGCCAACGAAGCCTCTTTCCGAATTGGTTGCAAAGGGTCGCTACATGATCAATAAACTTACAAAAGTGCAGACACGGTTTGGATCAAGAATCATGACTGAAGTTGATAATGAATTTATCACTTTCCTGCCAGCTAGATTTGTGAAATTTTTCGAGGATGAGCCAAACACCCTTGAGATGATGCAAGAAGCTGCAAGTTCAAACAAGTTGTACATGAAGTACTTGGGAGGAACATACAACGCCTTGGAATTTAAATTTAAATAAACTTAAATGATTTTTACAATTATATTTGTAAAAAAAAAAAGCATTTTGACATCAATAAAAGAAATAATTTTATTTAAAAATTGGTTTCAAATTTATTTAATTCCCTGAATTAGTTTTAAGTTTTATTTTAAGGAATTAGTTTTAAATTTTATTTTCAGGAATTAGTTTTCAGCTTTATTATTTTCAGCAATAAATTTTATTTTTCAGGCGCTATAAAATAATAATAATTATATTTAAGGGTAGGTTTTGTAATTAAAAAAAGAGATATTAAGTAAATTTAAATTACTGTTTATTGTTTAAACAACTTTAAAATTTTACAAAAAAGATTCACAATTTTCATAGAATGCTTTCAGCGTAGAATCAACTTCTTCAATACCTTTAGCAACAACACTTATATATTGGTTTGGAGGTTCCAAAAACCAATCACGAAGAATTTTTACATTTCTCACAGCACAGTTTTCATTATGAAGCGTATGATGAGTACATGTAGTTATCATTTGAGACTTAATTTTTTTCAACGATGGACAATCAAAGTCTTCTAAATTTTGTACATTCAATAGATATTTCTCGAACCACGTTTTTTTCTCTAAGCCCTTAACGTAGATGACACTAGCACCTCGTAGTACATCTTGTAGAATTAAACGAAGTTCATCGTAAGAGACGTCTCCAGCAGTCCAGTGGATTCCATGGTAATTATGTGTTAGCCAAAGATTTTCACTTTTGTAGCGTCCTGGCAACGATTCCCACGTACAAGGAGGTTCGAATAGGTAGACGAGAGGCTGTGCGTCTGCTTGAAGTGGTAATATTGCCAACTCTTTAAAAACAAAATCGTTGTAGGGTCTTTTAAAACCTTGGACGTCTACGATGAACTCCATCCTGAAACAGAAATGAATTTCTGCCCCAAAGTAACTGCTTTTATACCTGCGATTACCCCACCACTTTTACATAACCCCTACTCCTTTACAGCAACTTCTTCACAACGCCGCTGATTGGTTTGTATTGCACAACACGGTCGTGAATAATGAGGCAATAGGCAGTGGTCTCAGCTGGCATGTTGATTCCTGCTTCAAATTCTAAACGCACGTCAACTGATGCCTGCTTCAAAAACTCATTTTGCTTTGAACAATCAATGACAATTAGAGGGAATAAGCTTTTAAAAATATCCTTTGTTAAGAGAGGCTTAGAATCTTTTCCATAATATGAAGTTTGGAAATTTGCATACATTTCGTAAAGTAGGGCATACTGATTTTGATCAAAGTTTAAATTTAAATTTCCATATGGGTAATACTGTGAATTCAAAAAGAGTTTAACGTTTGTAATGTTGCAATGATCAAAATGACAGGCATATTTTTTCTGTTTATCTTTTCTAGCTGTTTGAAATCCAACAATTACATAACGTGGTTTTTCCAACTGAGTTGAAGTTTTAATTTGCCACATGACTTTTGAACTTAATGGAATTAAAGGATACTCATACATTTCCCATGACCGAAAACTCATTGAAATTAAAGGATCTTTTTCAATAAATTTTAATAATTTCACTTTATTATTATCAGCGGGTAAAACGTATGGAACCATCCATTCAATTTTATTGATTGAAATTTTAAATTGTTCATTTTCTCCTTGTCCTGTTTGAAATATTGCATTCATATCATTACGTGCTCTTGTTAAAATGAGTTCATGTTTAGCATTTATAATAATTTTTTTATAGTCTTCAGCGAATCCGAAAATCATGCCAAGTGGTATAGTAACATCAAAATATCCATTTTCTAATGTAATTCTTGCGTCCGCTGTAATTTTAGAAAATCCAGCATTTTCAATGAAATTCAGCTGCGGAGGCGTTACAGAAACATAATTTTTCATAATGGTTGTATGTCCAACGTATTTGCATCGGTCAATCTCAATACCATTTAATTCATAGCGAATTTCATCAAATAAAAAACATACAGCGTTGCTACTCAAGTGCACAGTTTCCGTAAGTGTAATTCCATCGGTCCTTGTCAATCTTCCAAATACATGCAATGAACTTTTACTTGGTAAAATACACAAGTCTTGATGTTGTACTGCAATTCGAATTTCATCGCTATTGTTAAAAGATGAAGAAGCATACGGTTGATGAGCATGAATTTCATAATGAGCTATAGACTCATCAAAATTCACTGCTGCTGGAATGTTGAGAATTTCGTCCATTTTTATTACAGCAACACCCCAAAAATATGTAGATTAATTGTCTTGTCGTTTTCTCTTTCCTTGAGTTATAACTTTTAGACCTAATTTTTTTAGGAATAGGCGATTCTGAGGTGTTAACACCTTGTGAGACAAATCTCGACTGATTTGCTTCTTGCATGGTGATTGACTTTTATAGTTTCCACCAACTTTTTGATTATATACAATTCCCATTACATTGACTTTATGTGCAATCGGATTGTTATAGTTTCTCCTCGAAAATTAATCAAATCACCGTCCTGATCGACAATGCGGAGTTGAATATTATGTATTGTCTTGACAACAATCGGAAGGTAAATGACGTGTGCTGGCACTTCCACAATCTTATATCCTGGTGGAACGCTAGGGAAGAATTCATGGATGGTGTGGGCTTTTTGATTATTTATATATGCTCCAGATGTAATGCTACACTCAACTCTGACTGAATTTATCTTGAGAATTGCTACAGGTAAATCAGAGATGTGTGTTTCATTAGGTGATAATTTACGCGGCATAAATCCCAATAATTTACCAATTGAATCTTTATGTTTAAAATCAATTGGTAAATTTGATTCAACTAAACTGCGTAATGTATTGTTATTAGGTTTTATACTAATAACAGTTCCAAGTTTTACTGAATTTTTTATACATGTTTCAATATCTGTAATTTCATAACTTCCAGTTGGTATATCAATTATATGATTACCAATGTAAAATTTATTGTTACCTTCATCAATATTGGGAATAGAATTAAAAGTCAGTAATTCAACAAGACCGAGGACATAATTTTTATTTGGATTAAGTTCTATTGGTGGGAAATATTCAGCTTCAAGAACTGAACTGTTTCCACTTAGTGTTAAAGTAAACGAATCACTCATGATGCTGTCAGTTTATATACTAAAAGATTACAAAAGTTACATGTTCTTATATAGACTAAAGCTGCTCTTAACATTAAGTTGTTTACATAAAAATTTTAAACATAAATGTCCACACACATAAGTATCATAACTTTGATATCTCTCATGATTATATTTTATTAAGCTACCATCACCCAAGTATGTGATTAGATCTGTTGGTGGAGGAAGGTTGCCAAAACTATCAAAATACATTATTTCGTTATTACATTTTTTATATGCCACCCAATGTGTTCCTGGGCCTTCTTTATTATCCAAGTTAATAATTCCCGACTCATATCGATAAGGTCCTTTAAAAGGTAGTTCATTTCGCATAAAAACTCCTCGAAAATATGGTATTTTCATAGTTTTAGCATATTTCAACAGATCAAAATCAGTTAGAGGACGGTGAGGTAGCTTCAATGCAAGTTTTTTTTCTTCCTTAATGTTGGTTTCTTCCTTAATGTTGGTTTCTTCTTCTTTTTTAATCCTTTCCCCTGAATGTATGGTTTAATATGAAGACCAAGTCCTTGTCGGTAGGGTTTGAGATGTAATCCTTTTCCAAGAGATATTGCTTCCATTGCTTTATTATGTCGTTGAGCTTCAACAAGTTGTTCCTTGGCAGTTTTAGCCTTATTTACAGCTTTCACTATACCTGAAGCTCCACCAGCAAGAGCTCCCAAAGCACTAAGTCCAGCAAAAATGGGAACTAGTGGTAAAATACCACCAACTTTAGAAGGTACAGGTAGAATTCGCGGTGACAAAATTTTTGATTTACCACCAGCATTCTTTATTGCTTCTTTTGCACCAATCAGAGCAGCTTGAATTGATTCTCCAGAATTATGATTGGGTAGCATACTTTTTCTAGCAGCATCAACAACTCTTCTTAATGCTAGTCGCTTTTTCTTACACATGGTTTTTCTTTTCTTCTTCATTGTAGACTTTTTCTTCCTTTTCATTCCCATACCTAATGT